ACTACGCCAATTGAAATCTGTGGTTAGACTTGAGACTTTGATTTCTTCGTATTTTGCATTTTTTCATTCTCGTCTGTGCTATGCGGTGATTTTGTGGGGTAATTCTAGCCAGTCGAATAAGATTTTTTCTTTACAAAAAAAAGCGATTAGAGTACTAGCAGGTCTGAGCGGCAGAGAACATTGTCAACCACATTTCATTAACTTTGGGATCTTGCCATTACTCTGCCTATACATATATTACACTTTAACTGAAATACACAAAAATATAAACAGTTTTTGTCTTCAGTCAGACATTCACATATATAACACAAGAAACTCTAATGCAATTAGAACGGACCGCTTCCGACTTACAAGGTCACAATCAAATTCTCTTAAGGTTGGGCTTTATAATAAACTGCCAACTACTGTTAAATCGTTAAATCTGAATTGTTTTAAAACTGTAATTAGGAGGCATCTAAGTCAATACTGTTTCTATACAAAACACGATTTTCTTAATACAGATTATAAATAATTGCTGTTATATGTCGCTTCGTGTGAAGTTGGATTGTTTTGGCTTGTTTGTGATGATGTACTCTATATGTTATGTTTGATATACTATATTTTCTTTGTCTTATACACATTTATATGTATGACTATTCACATTTGTACCTTTGACTTGCCATAAATATATATGCATATATGTAACATGGTCCAATAAACTTTCTTTCTTTGTTTCTTTCTTTATTCTTAAAGTTCAACTCCTCCAGCATTTGCTATAGCGGTGTAACGATTACACTTCAATATAGTACACATAGCTTTATTCTATAATTTTTTATTTTTCCTATCTCGTTTTGACAAATCAAATAAAATTGTTGAACAATCAATGCTTTATACAACAAAATTCTAGTATTCATAGTGATACTATTACTTATCCTATTTAACAGGTATACTTTCTTGTAGTTAAACTTATTTAAATTTTAGTTTGATACTAACATTCCTTTTTTCCTAATGGTGTAACTTTAAAAGAAATTTTGCAAAATACTAAAAATACCTAATTGTACTTATTTTGATTGAAATTTGCAATATAAATTATGTATAATATGTGGTGCTTATATATATATACATAAGCACCCCATATTATACATAATTTATATTGCAAATTTCAATCAAAATTTTTGGGTCACTAAAGTTCTCTTTGTGGACTTAGAAATCATCTCTTAAAAGAGAGAATGGGTCTCAAGCTTATTTATAAAAATTCACCAAAACCACTTCAAATTTTCAGCAGCCACCACTGGAGTACCTACCTATATCTTATACAGGGGTAACTTTGAATGGGGGGTTATATTTATTTGGAGGTTACCTTTGTTTAGAAATACCTAAGTTTATTTTCTAAAATTTTGTCGTGAAAGCTTTAGAATTACAGAAATTTATTAAAAAAACAAATTTCCACTCCACTCAGCCTGACTTGCTGCTCTTTACTTTATTGAGTGGGTGTTCGCCAGAACCCTATGGTCCCATATAAATGAAAATTTATTCTGTTAGATAAGATAAACTATGAAACAGTACCTAATAAGTAATTTAACAGAAAATACAATGAGTAATAAATAAATAATGATAAATTACCTAAATACACAAAAATAAGTCAATAATCTGTTTACGCTGATTTTTACAGCATATGCACAAAATTAAACTAAAATAAAATAATGTAAAAAAATGCAGCTGTGACGATGTATTCGGTCATTCTGCGCCTACACCAAAAATACACCGACTGCTACACCCTCAACAGTCCTAAATATATTTTGCATAAGGGCCACATAATTTGATTCTCTGTGGCTTCCCCACACTATATTATATGGCTTGAGTAGCGTAGGCTTGCCTTTTATAAGTGTTCAGATCAGGATTGTTTTCTGATTAAATTGAAACTACACAGGGTTGATAAGTAATAATAAATTATGTTTTTTTTCTGCGATTAAATATTATCTATTTGGCTGATGAAATAGTTGAATAAGAAGAAAGAGTGAAAAACATATTCTGTTTAAAATTTTATAACTTTTTAATACTATAAGTTCTAACTTTCCTAAATGCGTCCATATACTTTTTGTAGTGATCGTAGCATTGTTTAATTTAACTAGGTCAATGTCTGAGGCCACTGACACAGACTAGTAATACAATTCGTGAAATTTTAAAAAATAGTTCATATCAGATTAGTATTTTTATTTTTTATGTACGTTATTTGAAATAGCAAATATAATTATTTTTAAAACATAATTTAGTTTTATTTATTTAATTAAAAAAAAATTAGTATTCTGGGGAACACGTATTGTTAACCCTAAAAACTGACCCCTCCCACATAAAGTTACACTGTAGAGTAATTACGTGATGTGACGTGTATGCGACCGATTGTATTTTTACCTTTACGTGTGTGTTCGTAATTTTACCTTTATGACTTTTGTAAGCATTTTTAACCACCAGTGGCCCGCATCAAATAATTCTGTTAATGAATGAATGAATTGATTAATGATGGTGGCATTCAGTGCAAAAACATTTTTGAAATGCAAATTTGTTTTCAATGAAAATAATCTCGTTTTTTTACATACAAATTAGCAACCTATCAAGATGATACATTGTGGGTAAATATATAATTGTACAGTATTATACCTTTTGTGAAATTATTTAAAATATTATATTTATCTAAACGGATAATCTACGCAAGAAAAGTCAAGAGATAAATTCCGTTCAAAATATGACCCACATTTCACAAATGATAAACTTTTTTTCCTCTTATGACTTGCCACAATATTTTGGGTAAATATAACCAATATACCCAGTGGCGTAGCTTTGGTCATGAGTGCCCAGAGCAAGATTTGAATTTTGCACCCCCCCAAATTTTGGGTAAGTCCTTAATGTGCCCATACCCCAGCAGCCTGCAGTGCACTCCCTTGAGGTTTGCGCCTCTGGCAACCGCGCGCATAGCACAGCCCTTAACCAGGACGCTGAGTGTACCATATATCCAGAGCTGGGAGTATTTTGACAAATAAAATACCAAATAGTATTTTAGATATAAAATAGTATTTTATATTTTGAAATTAAAATACTTTTGTTATGACCCCAAAAATATTTTGTATTTCAAATAGGTACCTACTTTAATAAAGTATTTTGTATTTTAAAAAAGTATTTAAAATATTCTAAAAGAAATTTAAATACTCTTGTGTATTTAAATTACTCGAATTATTTAAAATATCCAAAATACCTACCAAAACAAATACTTTTTGCCTGTTACGATTGGCGACTGGTACAACACGTGCTAAAAAAATTAGACCCCTGCACGCCTGGATTTAGCGCATTCTACTATTCTTATTGCTATTCTGTCTACTACCCTTTAAGTCACTATCATCACTAGTCAAGTCGGTAGCAATCATCAAAATTTAAAATTAATTTATTTTATCATTAGAGGGCTATATTCTAAGAAAAACTAATAAAAAATTGTGGTAGTAATTAGTCTGCATCTCAGTAATCCAAATGAAAATGATTGTTTCCAGACTCATGTCTAGTTTTTTTATTTTTTTAATTTTTTGATATCTTGAAATCGGGCTTGCCTTGCACAGACAATATTTTTACTTCTTAAGGGTTTCAGATTTAATATTTCGCAAGAAATATTTAATATTTAACATACTTAAGATACTATTTTAATTACTAAGTAATTTACATTTAAAATACTTGCCAAAGAAGTATTTTGTTTTTAAGTATTTTGAAATACTTTCGTACTAGTATTTTATTACACATTTTGAAAGTATTTTGCCCAGCTCTGATATATACTGATCTACTTGTTTGAGCTAGAACTTATTTTTTCGCATTGATTTCCATTTTGTTCAGTTATTATGCGTACAAAATTTCATATCAATATCTTAATTTGTTCAGAAGATATTTAAAAATATAAATTTTTAAACTTCAACACTGTGCCTGGAAAACGAATGCATAATATGCAATATATTGGTAAAGTTATTTATTTCTTCCAAAATTGCTGGTATATCTGCAAATGTAGAACTACATGCACCACCAACAGGGTCGTAGCTAGGGGCTGGGGCATGGGCACTACTTAATGTTTAAATATGTATACAAATATACTCGCAACTTAAATTGCAGTTTAAATTTATTGTATTTATTTTCCTTCAAAATAAGTATTGGGGGGGGGCAAAATTCAAATCTTGTCTTGGGCGCTCATGACCTTAGCTACGACACTGACCACCAACTTTGTATTGTTCAGCATATTCTTTTATCAACTATCACTTTTAATATATTGTCTTACAAGAATAATTTGTACAATGAAAAACGTTCATTACGGATACTCGTGCATCTCATTACTCTTTTTTATTTGCTGCCCTCTTGGTTATAATCCTTTTTTTTTCTGAATCTTATTCTAAAACCTCATTTGCAGTATTTTTAGAAGAATCGTTGTGTCTGCGAATGCACTTTCCTTTGAAGAAGACAGGAACAGTTTTTTTCTATAATCATCTAGGTATAAAATCCATATTATCCATTTTCTAATAAGTAAAATATATCATAAAAAAATTAACTTCTATTATATATTTATTCTTACTGAAAAAAATTGTTTATTTTTTAAATTCTCAGTTTTTATGCATACAGAAAATATAAACTAATTCCACTGTGCACCCAATGAAGGTTTTTCTATCTATCTACTTAATTAAAGACTGAATTGACAAAATCAACAAACTATGAATCTTAGTTTATGTTTTAGAAGTCGTTTGATATACAAAAGTACCTACCAAAAAACAAATTTTATTGCTGGTGTTAAAGATACTGAAATTACAGTGGAATCTAAAATTTTCACAACAATCAGATATTTATCTCTTAGTTAATTTTCATTTTTCTTGACTACCTGACGTAGGCATTATGACGCGATTTTAATGAAATTTTTTAACAGGACTGTGCAGTATAGGTGTATTAAATATGTATATGAATTCTACACCTTGTTTACATTATATAATAATTTTAATTTTCAGTTGTTTTTAAATGAAGAAGCAAGAATAGAAAAATGGGTGAAAGAGTTATATTCTTATAGGCAAAAAGCATTACAGCAAGGTTTAAAAAATATTACAAAAATATGAATACAAAATATGTTTTACTTACAGTATTGTCAATCACTATTAATGTAATCATTTATTACAAACTTTGTCCATCTGTATTACAATTATGTGAAGTTGACACCTGCCCAATTTGTTTTGGAACAGACTTATGTAATGAAATTGGACAAAATAAAATAGTGCTACAATATAACACATTTTCAGCTTTTATGTATAATATTTTTAGTGTAAAAAATGTGTATTTTGCTCGTTTCTACAATATGACAGTTGTTTTAAAGAAACTAGCTCATAATAATGAATTTCAAAAACTTAAAGAACTTAAAAGAAAAGACTTCAATGAGCTAATAAATTTTTTAGTTAGTGACAGCGGTGATAAACATTTTGTATTGTGTGATAAAAATACAGCCAACTCATTTTTAAGAATATTTAGTTATAAAAGCAGTGAAAACCTTGAAACATTACTTCATATTAATATTGAACCTCTTTTACTGGAAATCTTTAGTAGTCAGCATGGATGGTGTGTTCCTAAGTTATATGGGTATTGTGGACGATTAGTAGTTGTTCAAAATGCAGGCCAGCCGCTAAGTGAAATAGAAAGTTTTAATTGGTTTGATAGGTCATATGTAGCCTATCAGATATTGCAAAGTGTAAATAATTTCACAAAAAATCATGATATCTTTAGAATTTACTTAACAGATATATCTCCAGATAATATTGCTGTTAACCAAGACTTACAGATCACCTTTATTGATCTTGAAAATGCAATTTTAAAGAAAAAAGTTGCAGGAGGTAAGTTCATTTAAAGAATGTTCTTTTTATAATAAAACTTAATACTTATATTTAGGTGAAATTCATTATACCGAACATTTTGATGAGGATTTATATATGTATTCAGAAAAACAAATTTGTGAAAGTTCTATGAGTGATCATAACATATATTCAACATGTAGGGTGAGTGAACTCTTATCTTGTTACCACTGAGTTAAGTGTAAAAGTGTAAAGATTGTATACATACATGATAATTTTAACTAGATGTGAAGACGTTGCCATTTCAAAAACTGTCAGAGATTTAGAAATGGCTAAGTTGGGGGAAAATTGCAAACTAAATAATTCAAGAAGTGGATTTTTTAAGTTAATGGTTAAAAGTCCCATAGTATTAAAATTATTTTTCTTTTTATCCAGATAAAATAAAATATGATAAAATAAAGTTACCTATGTTTTCTATCTCATACTTGATTTAGTTAAATCATAGTCGAATTTCATTTGACAGACCACCTGTGAGATGGCTTCATCATAACAAAACTCATGTAATAAACTTTTTGAGTTGAAATTTGAGCTTCTGGGTTTCATCTCTGCTTGGTGTTAAACTAAGAAGTTAAAAAAATTAGTCCAATTAATTAATACACAGGGTATTTTTACGATGAATTTTCAAAAATTGTCAAGCGTAAAGTACCTTTGTTTTTAAAAATATCAAAAATATTTTCTTATAGTTGTTTTACATTAACAATTTATTCATGAATAAATTAACGAAGTTCTTCATGAATTAATTCACGAATTTATTGGTAAACAGTGTGGTTTTACACTGCTACAGGCTTTGTCAAGTTTTTTGACGTATGAATCAGTTCTACCAATGAATCAAAGGAAGCAAATAAATTTCAAAAATGTCACCTTTCCACTCATAATTGTAGTGATACAACAGCGGTACCGTTCTGACACATATTATATAAATATTAGTTTTTGTAAGTAACAAATCAGTAAAAACAATGCAAAACTAGTACAACGCCACACAGTTATTTACATATTCCAATAACATAACCTCATTACTGATCTGAGGCTGGAAATCTGTTGGGTTGGTACTTCTGAACTTCACGAAGAAATTGACGAAAATTAGAACATGCTCTAATTTTCGTCAATTTCTTCGTGAAGTTCAGAAGTACCAACCCAACAGATTTCCAGCCTCAGATCAGTAATGAGGTTATGTTATTGGAATATGTAAATAATTGTGTGGCGTCGTACTAGTTTTGCAATGTTTTTACTGATTT